ACACATCTTTCTTTTCAGGCCACCTAATTGTCTCAATTTGTTTTCTAAATGAAAACATTGCATATTCTAGTTTTATTTCTTGTCTTCTCCGTTTATCTTAATCTTTGAATTCAAGAACTGCTTGAATTCATGAAGTCTTCCTTGAAAAAATCAAGCCTGGACGGATCATGTATTTCCCCTCCTGATGCTCTCTAGATTTGCTTTGATTCAGTCTTGGTTTACCCATTATTTCCTGCATTTCATCCTCCTGGGCTCACATTCCATTTGGATTTCTCTGTAGCTAGAAAGCGGCTAAAAGTTAGCCTCAAATGACAATGGACTGAATTTGACCAATATGCAAGGCAGCCAGGAACAGATTGTTTTGCTTTTCTCCAAGCTTTATGAGGTTGATATTCTAAACTATGATATTTGACTATGCGTTATGTGCTCGGGTTTTCAAAGACAAAATTTAAGACTATTTCCTCCTTTTACATAGAGGGGAATACAGGCCACTTTTGACCATCCAGTTTGCAACAAGTAGAAGAGAAGATAACAAGCTCTAGTTTGACGTTTCCAGTGTGACTTCAGCTAGAAGGAAGAGTGTTACATCTACACACAGTTGGCTTCTTTATAACTGTCATTCCTCTTACAGAGGAAAAAAAAAAGACTTACCGACTTGCTTCTAACAGTTTTCCTTGATATAATTAAACTGAGGCAAAAGGCATGCCTGTTTTTTTCTTACTGCTGTCTTCCAGGATCTGCCACAGAGCTGGATACACCAAACATACTCAATAAATAATTGTTGGATGGCTAATTGAATTTCCACTCTCAATTATAAGTTTAATCTCCACAAAAAGTCCATTCGAAAAGCACAGCCAAGATTAATTTAGAAACACTGGCATTCATTTCCTTTTGTTTCATTTCACTTCATGAATTAATTTATTTAACAAATGCTTACTGGAAATGCATATTAACTAAGAGTTTAAAGGTAAAGAAATACAAATCAGAAAAGAAAGGACTCAAATTCTGGCCCTACTATTTATTATCTAGGTGACCTTGGCAAATAATTCATCTCTTCCAGCTTCAGACTTCTCATTTATAAAATGGGATAAAAGCTCTTATTGTCAGGGATTTTGCGAGAATGAAATGGGCATCATATGCAAAGTGTGGTGCCTGGCACTGATTAGTGGTTCCTAATAATATGATCAAGTCTGTAAGGGTCTGTGTTAGGATCCAAACACATACAAGGCAAACCCCCTCAAGATGTTTACAAATTAGCCCTGGGAAAGAAGACATTAATACAAATAATTATGCTGCAAAGAAAGACAGTGTCAGTACTATATAACAAAGGCACAAGAATAGGCTAGGTGACTGTTGCAAAATATGTTTTATTGTTATTCAGGCCAGTAGATCAGGGGATGACTGCCATTGAAAAAATAGTTTGTTATAGGGATTCCAAAAAAAGGGGGCACACCATACTGCAGGAGGGTGGGGGGCAATGGGAAGCACCGGGTTTGTCAGGAGGGTTGGGGGGAAAATTGGGCAAGAGCTTTTATTGTCATTTCCATGGAAAGGGATGGGTCAGACAAAGTAAGCAGGTTTAGGATAGGCTAGTTTGAATAATTCAGTGGGTTCTGGAGTGTAGGGCTGTCCCTAGGTGTCTGGTACCTGGCCCTGGGATGATTAGGGCTGGGGGATAGTAGCCCAGAGTATAAGCCCCCACAAAGGAGGTGGTTGGCAGTGTGGCCTCTGGGTTGGTTGATTTGCATATGGAAGTTGCACTCCCAGGTGAGCTGTTTGCTGTCTAGCTAGCTTTGGGAGGAGCAGTCTCTCTGGAGCCAGCCAGGCCCCAAGATGTCAGAGCATCAAAAATACAGAATCAATACAAATACAGATTAATACAATGTCTCAGAACATAGGAAGCTTGGAAGTAGCCAAATCCAAGTCTCTTTTCGAGTCTGACTGTACTCCCAATCCACTTGTTCTCTATTATAGCACCCTATTTACTTCTTCATAGCACTAACCACTAGTTCTTTTCCTTGTTTGCCTTTTTTTTTGCTGAAGAATATTCTCCCTGAGCTAACATCCATTGCCAATCTGCCTATTTTTGCTTGAGGAAGATTAGCCCTGAGCTAGAATCTGTGCCAACCTTCCTCTATTTTGTATGTGGGTCGCCACCACAGCATGGCTGATGAGTGGTGTAGATCTGTGCCCGGGATCCAAACCAGCGAACCCAGGCCACTGCAGCAGAGCACATCAAACTTAACCACTGTGCCGTGGGGTCAGCCCCTGTTTATTATCTTTTTATCCCATTACACTGTCACCTCCATGAAGGCAAGAAATTTGTTTGTCTGGTTTACTGCTCCAGGCCTAGTTCCCGACAGTACCTGGCACACAGTAAATGCTCAATGAATATTTGTTGAACAAATGAGTGAAAACTATAGTTCTGTGATGCTTGAAGGTTACATGTGATTTGTGTGTGTGCATTTGCACATATTACTGTTCATATATGTGTAAGTATGTGGGTATTTGTGTTTGTGAGTTTGTGTGCATGTTTTTGTGTATGCAGCAGGTTCTAGTCTTTAGTCTACACCATCCACGTTTACAACTAGGTTTCAGCCAAGACAGCATGTCTGGCAACTACTAGATGGGCCCATCAGAAATCTGTGAGCACAGGGGTCTGAGGAGCTTCCTGGGGAAGAACTCACTTCTGGGACCGGCAGACAAGCTCAAGATAGTCCCAAACACTTCAGAGCTTGGAAGGGAGAAGCTTCTCTGTTTGTGTAATGCTATGTTTCTCTTGGATGAGTCTTGGCCCTCCCCTTCGTGGACTCATAACTTGGTGCTTGTGAGAGAGAGGCCTATGTTCAAACACTGAAAGATCTGTTTTTACCAAAAGCTCTACAATATTTTAGGATGCTGTAGTAGTCAGAATCCAGCCAGAAAATCAAAACCATACCAGGTGATCAAATAGGATGAATTTAACTTGGAAGATAATTTACAAGGTGCTAGAAATGCAGATAAAGCAACAAGGGAGGAGGCGAGTCAACCGTGGGATTGGAAAATGTCAGAAGCTGCTACTGCTTCTTAGCTAGGAGGGACAGAGTGAGGAGGTGGGCCCAGGAGCTGAGCCTACACATTAGAAGCTGGAATAATGGTGAGTCGGCTTGGCTGGGGTGGGACCATAGATGAAGGGCCTTTCTAGAAGGAGCTGGAGCCATGGAGAAGATGCAGTCACTGAAGCAGGGAGAGAGAGAAATACCCTGGCTTCTCTCTTTCTCTCGCCTCCAGTCTTCTACCAGTGCCTTCCACTAGCCAAACCTAACCAGACACAGTCGGCAAGGAAGTCTGGAAACCACGGTCTGGAAAACTCAACTTCCTATAGTACAGAGCAGAGCAGGGGCCCTGCAGGGCAAGGATTTGAAAGCAAACTGGCAAATGACAAGCATAGATGAGGGCAGAGCTGGTTAGTATCCCATAAAGAGATCAGAATATAAAAATAAAGGATGGCGTCAACTCACCACCGCTTTGCCGCACGACCTTGGCCCTTTGAAGATTTAGACACATCACCTTCCCTTGCGAGCTGGTAAAACTCAGGAGAAAGAGAAGCTGTCTCTGGCAGAGAAAGCAGTAGAAGTGGAGGATCAAGTACGAGTCACGGTAATTCATGATCTCTTTCATGATGTTTATAAAGTAGCAGAAAAATAAAGACATGGCGGTTAAAATTTGGTAACATAGAAATTACTAACAGGTGACACATTAAGTATTAATTTTGGTTTGGTACAGTTACATCCTCTGTCTGCATAATTTTATTAAATCCTATAAGAATAACACACCTTCAAGTGGGGCCCCAACTACTCCTGGCCTAGTGCTTGAAGGGCCTGTGCCTTGGCCCATCTTCCTCCCAGTGTTCTGAGTCCCTCTTCAGTGGCAGGGGTGGCTGTGACCAGCAGTGTCCTTTGGCCAGGGAGAGCTTGAGCTGAAACTTGGACACACTTAGGCCTAATCCCTGTTTCTCTCCTTCAAGCATTTTTTTTTTCCCACTCCCTTGCATATGAGGCCCACCAGATGCCCCCAACGAACTCCGGGACTCAGGCTTACAAATAGGGTCATCCTGGGGCCCCAAGGCTGAGTCCTGGTTCCAGAAGGGCAGCGTATAAGCAGATTGTTCCTGTGGCTGGCACAGTCTTTCTTTTGTGTGATTGCATGGGATTGGACTGCCAGAATGGTTCTGCAATCCATATTTGGGCGACTTGAATTGCTTATGCAGACAAGGTCTTGCAAAAAATGTTTTTTCTCAGGGTGACACACCTTAGGACTGTCTGCTGTTAATTTCCCCATTTTAAATGAGGAGACCAATACAATAGACAAAAAACGTCTAATTGAAGATTACGCAAATAGTAAATATCGAATCCCTGTTTTTAAAAAGGCATTTTGATTGTGGATCCTGAACCTGTTATTCTCTATGAGGGCACAGAGAAGGCACACCCCGGAGATTCCCAACGTACCTGGGAGATACTAGAGAAGGCAAGAGATCTTGCCATAGGAGATATGTGAGTGGGGATGGAGTGGGGAGAGGTGAATTCCAGAGAAATGTGGGACTACGTGCCATCAAGCTGAGTCTGTACTATAGCAGGGACCTCCGGATTGCTTCTACAACCAGGTAGCTCATTGGGTCACGTGATTCTCCAAATTTTGAATGCATAGAAAGCTGGAGGAAAACAACAGAACTTTCACTCCTTTTAATCCCAAGAGAAAACCTTCCCTTCTTTTCTTCCAGAAGGACTCTTAGAACTCTTTGCCTTCCACTGGCGTCGCTTTGCAAAGGCTTGTGAAAGAGGTCCTTGAGAATGCTTTAAGTTAGGACTTTGTTTCTCGTGGGAACATGAGGGAAAGTGGAAAAATCTTCAATTGGTTTAGTGAGGAAACATGACCTTCGTGCTCTTCTTCACTGGGGCGAGTCAAGTGGCAGTGATTGAAATTCAGGTCCTCGGTGGGTGTATAAATATGTGCATGTGCAGAACCAGCTACGGGCTCAGTTTTCCAGTTCAGTTTTAAACTTCGTCACAGATAAGCTGTCATGAAGCTGGTAACTGTGCTCCTGCTGGCGACCATCAGCATTTGCAGTTACTCTGGTAAGTAGCCTGGAACATAGGCTATTTCTCCACTTTTCTGTTAATAGGAACACAACTAGTAAGCCTAGGCTCCCGGTGGGATACAGTGGAGGGAGTTTTAGAACCACAGAATGGTAAAGTTGGAAGGGATTTCAGAGAACAGAAAGCTTTGAGGGTCTTCCCCCGGAAACACGTGAGGACGTACAGAGAGGACATTCACCAAAGTGTTTAAAATAAGAAGTAGGGAGATGAATCATGAGAAGCTGGTGCAGCCTACCCATATGATGGCAATGTTGGCTTGTGTTTTTACTGAATTTTTGACAGGTTTGTAACTTCACTGGCTTCCGCTGTTTTGTTCTTTAGTGTCCAGGGACAAATATCTATGGGCAGAGGTGGCAACAGAAAAATGGGTAGAGGGAAATAAATATCCTCCTCCTGGAAGAGAATTTTGGAGAGAAAATGTGATAGAAGATGAAGGGAAGATAGGTGCACAGGCTCCATTTTTATGATGTGATGGGGAAATAAAAAGGATGTCAAAGGAAAATGAACTATGGCTGGGTCTTAGCCAGCAGGAGGATGCGTGTTCTTATGTGTGTGCACATGCGCATGTGTGTTTACATATTTGCACGTGTTTTGTAAAATATATACTATACATATTTTTCCCATTCTCTACACGTTCCCTCTGGTTCATCTTTTATGTGAAAGTTATCTTTCTAAAGCCAAAGATATAAAATGCAATTGGGCCACATTAGAGTCTTGGTAGCTTCCCATTGCCCTCGGTGGGGGGGAAACTCTCAGACTCGTTAGCCTGGCATTCAAGGCTTTGAAAAATCTGACCTCATCTGAGTTTTGCAGTCTCACCTCCTTTATCTCCCCTCAGCACACTTCACTGGAATGCTGTACTCCAGCCCCTCTGGGCAGAAGACTCACCATCCTGTGTATGCACTTTCATCTTAGCATCTCAGTGCTTTTGTTACTTTTGTTCCTTTTTAAAATGCTGCTCGCCTTCTTTACCTTGTGATCCTGGCATCTGTCTCAAGACATAGCTCCAGCAACATCTCTCCTGGGAAGATTGCTGCAACACTCTCCCACATTAGAATTAGTCTTCCCTTCTTTTGTGTTTCCATAGAGCTTTGTCCATAATGTTAGCATAGCGCATGCGGCACCGTGGCTTGCACGGGTCTTTACTGCCCACTAGACAGTGTGAGTTCTCTGAATGGAGTAGCCTTGTCTTATCCATCTATGTAGTTGCACCAACCGGCATTGAGTTAGTGCCCAATTACGTTTGCAGCATTGAGGTGAATTGGTTGGGAGCAGTTTCCTGGGCTGTGATTGGGTCCATTCATGTCCCCAAGTGGAGATTCTGTCCTTTGGCCTCTAGGCTTGGGCTGTGAAAACAGCCACATACAAAGTACGTTCCTATTCAGTCAATCACCAGTACCTTTTAAGTGCTTACTACGTGCCAGGGTCTGTTCTAGGCCTGAGGTACGGCAATGAATAAAACATAAATTCCTTGTTCTCATAGAAACTACATTCTAGTGAGAGGATAAAGGCAAAAAAAATTAATATTTTATGTAATGGTAAGAAAAAATAAAGGAGGGTAGAGGGTGACAAGTGGTGCTATTTTATATACCTCTCTGAGGAGGTAACATTTGAGGAGAGACCAAACAATGTGAGGAAGAAAGACATGTAGCTGTCTGGGGAAAGAAGGTTCTAGGGAGATGGAACAGCAGGTGCAAAGGTCCTGAGGCAGAAGTTTTCATGGGAAATCAAGACGAGTGGGGCTGGAACGGAGCCATTGGTGGACAGAGGGGAAGGTAGTGAGGTCATAGACAGGAGCCGGCTGTGCCTGTTTCACTTGGTTTCCCTTTTGCTCTGCAGCTACCGCCTTCCTCATCAACCGTTTGCCAGTTCCTGTCAACGATGTCTTACCTTTACCTGTGGACAACATTCTCCCCTTCAAGGATCCATTAAAGCTTCTTCTGAATACTCTGGGCATTTCTGTTGAGCATCTTGTGGAAGGGCTAAGGAAGTGTGTGAGTGAGCTGGGACCAGAGGCCTCTGAGGCCGTGAAGAAACTGCTGGTAACTACAGCTTGGGGGGCTAACTTGTGAAAGAGCAGGGCTTAGTCATTCTGAACACCCACCCTCCCCACCCCACTCCCACCCCATCCTCTTCTCCCTTGTGAATGTGCGTTTCCCCCTTACTGACTGTACTCACATCTTGGTGTGCATGGGCTGGAATCTCAAGGAAAGTCCAATATCTACATTTCTAGAAGGACTTTTTGAATGAGAGAGACCTGCGTTCTGGTTGAGACTTTGCCATTTCCCAGCTCTGTGATTCTGGATGGGACTTCACCATTCCGAGCCTTTGTTTCCCCATCAGTAAAATGGTGGCTAAATAGGATAGTGACTATTTCTGGAAACGTGCTGATTACATGTGAGCTGCTCTTATTTTCCTTTTGTGCCTCTACCTTTCAGGAAGCCCTGTCATATTTGGTGTGACGGCGGATAAAGCAAGAGGGGAGGTGGAAGGAGGATGAATCTCTCCTCCTCTCCGCCCGAAACTCATTCTATCCGATTATAAACCAGCCAACCTAAAATGTAGTGACCCCTGAAAAGAATGAATAAAGCGGTGAATAGATTTCAGTTTGTCCTATTTTTATTTCTGGGGGATCTATTCAGAAGGGCCTAACTAGATAATTTTTCCCTGAGTCATAAACTCTAGAAAGCCTGTTGCTGTCAAGATAACACTCATTTTCAATAAGACATAATCATTCCTTCCTCTCTCCTCATCTCGAAGTTAACATCTCCATTTTCTTCAACCGTTCTATATCAGACAGTGTTTCCAGACCCCTCATGCTCCTTTTCCCTTCCTTCTAAAGAAATTTTTAAACACAAATGTCTGACAAGACTAGGGTCTTACAAGTTTCATTGGTTTGGAGTCTGTAACACCAGAATGTGGGTTTCTATTAAGTTTGTAGTTGTACTAGGGCCGCTCCATAGCTTTCAAAGACCTTTCCACCAAGTTAGGCCTTTTCTACAACACCCTTTGGCAAATGAGTTCTGGACTATCCTGTCCTTTCCCCCGTGCTACCATCTACAATGGTGCCAAAATTATCTTTCCAAGACATTATTCTGGTTATATACGACCACCTGTGAAATAGATCTCAAGCTCCTTAGCAGGGCATACAAGGCCCTTCATGACCTGGCCTTTGCTTACATGTCTCATCAATATTCCTTCCCTCACATGTGCTCCAGTCCCAGCCGTGCTGAAAAGATAACTAAATCTCTCTGCTCCTGACACTTTTATGCCTTAATGAAAAGTCTAGTTTCTTCCCACCTAGAATGTCTGTCCTGGTCTGGCTTCAGCCCTGGTCTTGTGCCAGTCTTAGGGCTGTTTGCCCTCGGGTCCATTCCCTACCTTCCCCTGCTCTGTTCTGTGTTGAGGGAAGAGAGGGCATGACACTGACCCCTGTGGGTTGCATTTCTCAGGTTCCAGCTCAGCTGACATTTGAGCTGCATTCTGTCCCTGGGAGGCCCAGGCAGGAGATTGGCGATGGGAAAAGAAGAAAGCCAGAGTGTCAACTCCTCTCCCTCTCTATTTGGGAGAAGTCTCTGGAAGTGCCTGCACCATGTCTGAGCCATCGGGTCCCACTGGATGGGTCTGCTTCGGTTCCAGCTTTTGCCCGGTGACTCCGGTCCCTGGCTCTGGTTACACCACCTCTGTTCTTTTTCTCTCCAGCTGAGGTTGGTAGTGGCTTCCGCTGTTACCAGTTTCTAGGTTGCCTCATCATCACCTTTTGACTCTTTAGGTCTTCTGTCATGTATTCAGTCAATTCTGTGTATTACATTCCCTCTATTCTAAGCATTAAAGTAGTTTCTGTTTCCTGATTGGTTCCTGACTAACATAATATTAAGTGTCATCTCCTCTGTAAAGATTGTCTTGATTTCCTGCCGTTTCTTGACCCCCACGTTTTTTTACAACTAAAATTTTTGCACTTTATGAAACTTCTTGTTTCCCTTCCTCATTTTACCTGAGTCTGTAAGAATAGATAGGTTGCCCAGCTATAGTAATAAATAAGCCCAAATTTCAGGGGCTTACATCCACAATGGAATAGTCTTCATCTTGAACATTTCTGATCATGATGGTACATAGAGAAAGAGAACTTAGTGAACCATGGGCTAACTTCCAGCCCTTTTTCACTGGCCAAAAGCAGGTCACATGGCCCCTCCTGACTTATTTAGGAATGGGCTATATTCTCCACAGGAAGGGAGGCTGCCAAATAGGGGCTAACAATGTAATTTATGACATTACTTAACTACTTCAAAGTAATTGCCACCTGAGATACTGCATTCTATTTGAAATTTGCTGCTGTGTTGGATTGTTTTCCCTCCCACCTCTAGTTTTCTTCTCACTATTGACCATTGCTTTTCAGTTTCTTTAACTGGCCCTTATTATCTTGATTTCCTCTGAACATTGATGCCTGCAAAGATTCTAAATTTGATTCCTTTTCTCTTTTCACTTCATTGGGGATCTCGTGTATTCCCATGGCTGCCAATATAATCTCCATGTGATGAACTCTCAAATCTGTATCTACAGTCTACATCTCTTTTTTGAGGAGAAGAGATTCAGTTACCTAGAAGACACTTCCAACAGATGCCCTTTTTTATGTTCAACTCAACAACAGACCTCCACTAGGACTCATCTTTCTTTCAAAACATGCTCCTATGTTCTAATTTTCTATCTCAGTATATTGCACCACTATTTGCCTGGTTGCCTGAGTCAGAGACTTGGGAATCCTTCCATGCAATCCCTCTTCTCATCCTTCCTTTCTAATTGGTAGGAAAGTCCTGTTTATTATAAACCTTTTTCATATCTATCGTATACATTTTTCATTATCATTAGTTACTGCTCCTCCCAAAACCTTATCATTTCTCACCAGACTACTGTGTTAATCTCCCCAAAGGCCTCTGTATTCCCAAAGCTGAGCCCATCCAACCCCTAAGCCACACTGCAGAAAAAGCAGTTTCTTAAAATACAAGAATCATTCCCCAGCTTCAGATTCTTCAATAGTTTTTCAATGCTGATTGAAAAAACAGTCAGAGACTATTTTAAACCAACAGACATATTCATAACACAGATTTAGATATACTTATTTTCATACTTATTTCAAAACCTCCTTTCTAGACTCTGAAGGCATATAGAGAGGGACTTGAACTTATTTATGTCTGTATCCTCAGCATATAGCACAGAGTCTGAAGGTAGTCAGTGTTGGGTTTGTGTTTATTGAATGAATTGATTTGTTTCTGTTAAGTTTTGTCTTTTTGGGCTGACCCTTTTGTTCTCTCCCATCATTCATATTATTAAGCTATTCATTGCTCTCTCTCTCAGCTTGGTGTGTTTTGCATATTTGAGAAGGATGATTGTCTACGTCTTCATTCAACCTGCTAAATGCAGAAGACTGCGGATGGAGTTCTGTGTCACCAAGCTCTGAGTAATAGATGTAACATGGCAATCTATTGGTGGTAGAAGTTTTTTTTTTCTCGGGGTGTATCAAAGAGAGTTACTGACTTAAAAAGGCATCTGAGGACAGATTATGTTTGGGAAACTAGCCAGGAACTGATAATAAACATTATGGCAGAAATTGTTGACCAAACTTACTATAAAAGTAAAAACACCAATGCTGATGAAGATGTACAAAAACTAGATCACTCATACATTGCTGTATGTAATGTGAATGTAAAATAGTGTAGCTACTCTGGAGAAAGAGTTTAACAGTTTCTTGAAAAACTAAACATGTAACTACCATATGCCTCACCAATTGTGCTCCTGGACATTTATCCAGAGAAATGAAACATGTTTATGCAAAACCTCTACACAAATGTTCATAGCAGTTTTTTTGTAATAGCCAAAATCTGGAAACACCGCAGTTGTTCTTCAACGGATCTATGGTTAAACAACCTATTGTGCATCTATAGGATGGAATACTACCAGCAGTAAAAAAGAACGAACTAGTGATGCACACAACCTGGATGAATCTTCAGAGAATTGTGCTAAGTGAAAAAACAGCCAACCCCCAAAAGTTAAATATTGTATAATTCCACTTATATAACATGCTCAAAATGACAAAATTATAGAAATGAAAAACAGATGTGTGATTCTCAGCAGTTAAGAGAGGGTGGGAGTAAGAGGGAAGTGAGTGTGCTATATAAGGGCTACATGAGAGATCTTGGCCATGACAGAAACGTTTTGTATCTTGTCTGTATCAATGTCAATATACTGGTTTTGATATTGTAGCATAGTTTTTGCAAGATGCTGCCATTGGGGGAATTCAGTAGAGAATACGCTATATCTCTCTATAGTATTTCTTACAACTGCAGGTGACTCTATGATTACCTCAAAATAAAAAATTTAATTAAAAATATTATGAAGACAAACAGAACATAGAAATATATATTATATACAATGTAATTAACATAAGTTATATATAACTATAATGGCATATAACTATGTATAGAATTATATATGTAACTTTCATTCCATTCCTCCATAAATGCCACAAACCAGGGGAAACCATTTGTTAACAGTCTATGTGATTTTTCAAGACAATTTCTGCACATTTAAAAATATGCATATACGAATGAGTCACACTTTATTTAAACTGTCATATATGCAAATATTTAAATTATTTCTAGTAATTTTTTTCTTATTATAAAGAGTGTTACTGTAAATATCCATATATTTGCATTAGTTTCTGTATTCATCTCTTTAGAAAAATCTTGGAAGTGGAAATGTAATGCCAAGAATTATGTGATGTTTAAAATTTTGATAGCTACCAACAAATTTCCATTGGAAAAAGCAGTTGGAATCTGAGGTGATTGAGGTCAGAGAAGTTCCATGCCCAAAGATGGGATTAGGGACACAAGACAACGCCTAGGATATGATTGTTTGGCCTAAGAAAGTGATACATCCCTTTTTACTATTTATTGGAGGGTCAGGAGATGCAACGTATGAATCACATGATTTCTGGCCTCCGTGTTTAAGTCAGATAATACAAAAAAGTAAATAAAATTTATTTGCTGCATTTTTTTTTTTTAATTTTAGAAAGGAACCTGTTGAAAACCTCTCAGTTATTGGTCATTCATTGTGTTCTTTGTATATTTTTAATTTAACAAATAGTGGTTAAATATTGATTGTAGTATCTTTGCTAGAAATTGAGCATACAGTGATAAACAGAATAGACAAGGCCCACACCCCCACAGATTTTGCAGCATAAAGAAGACACGGAAACTATGTAAGTAAACACAGGTAAATCGATAATTACAAATTCTGATAAGAACAGTAAAGGAAAAAAATAGGATGTTTTTGTTTTGTTTTGTTTTTTTGTGAGGAAGACCAGCCCTGATCTAACATCCGATGCCAATCCTCCTCCTTTTGCTGAGGAAGACTGGCCCTGGGCTAACATCCGTGCCCATCTTCCTCTACTTTACATGGGACGCCGCCACAGCATGGCTTGACAAGCGGTGCGTCGGTGCGCGCCTGGAATCCGAACCTGCAAACCCTCGGCCACTGCAGCAGAGCCCTTGCACTTAACTGCTGCACCACTGGGCCGGCCCCAAAAATAGGAATTTAAGAATGGTAATA